GTTAAATAATTACCACAGCAGTAATACTAATCTGACTGGTTCAGTAATCAGAAGATAAAACAAAGCAGGCTTTAAAGACAGACAGATAGATATCTGTGTTTCCATCAGATGAGCCATGTCACAGCAACAACCAGGGTCCACAGTTGGCTGGTCTAGAAAGACACGAGTCCCCAGAAGGCTGGAATCAGGCGGCATTTACACTCCACATAAAGAAGCCAATGACCTTTTATTAAGTATCTTTACTTCTTAATTCATCATGAATAAGACAGACAGATAGATTCCACTTTTGAATGGAGTTCTGTTAATAATAAAATGCTAAATGGTTTTTATATATGCATTGCAATCCTGTTTTGTTCAACAAGGTGTTTTGGGAGAGACACATTTGTGCAGCATTGACTTTAGTTTTTAAGGTTAATAATTGTTCAATGAAATTTATTAGATGAACAAAGTGGTTTTGTAACAAGGCCTGAAGTCAATATGTTAAATAATTACCACAGCATTTACACTAGTAACAGTAATTCTGCTGGTTCAGTAATCAGAAGATAAAACAAAGCGGGCTTTACAGACAGAGAGACTGACAAAGAGAGCTAGTATTAATGTTACTTAGGTGAGATAAAGTAGAGTGTCTAATCTTTGCAGACACACAGACAGACAGACAGACAGACAGACAGACAGACAGACAGATAGACAGATAGATAGATAGATAGATAGATAGATAGATAGATAGATAGATAGATAGATAGATAGATAGATAGATAGATAGATAGATAGATAGATAGATAGATAGATAGATAGATAGATAGATAGATAGATTTCTTTTACTTTAAATTAAGTGTTAGTAAATTTGATGCTCTATTTGTCGCTTTACTCAGTCTTGTCATTCCAGAAGTCTAGTAGCATTAGCAGCAATGGTGCATTGTTAACTGCAGAATGGCAGTGAAGTCAAATTGGACAAGTTATTTGTTACTTTTAAGAATAAAATGCTCATTTTAAACTTGGAAACTCTCTACAAGTGCTTTTGATTTCTATTGTGTCAACAACTTCCTCCTAAGAAACAACACTGGCAAACATTTTTTGGGGAGTTAATTATACTTTAGCCATGCCACGTAGTATTGAGACAACTATGTAAAGTTTAATGTTGAAAATCTTGTATTTGAAATGGACACAATTTATATGTACGGTTAATAATTGTTCCATGAAATTCATTAGAAGAACAGAGTGGTTTTGTAACAAGGCCTGAAGTCAATATGTTAAAAAATTACCACAGCAGTTACACTAATTCTGACTGGTTCAGTAATCAGAAGATAAAACAAAGCAGGCTTACAGACAGAAAGATAGATATCTGTGTTTCCATCAGATGAGCCCATGTCACAGCAACAACCAGGGTCCACAGTTGGCTGGTCTGGGAATACACAAGTCCCCAGACAGATGGAATCAGGCGGCATTTACACTCTAGATAAAGAAGCAAATGACCTTTTATTAAGTATCTTTACTTCTCTCATTTGTCATGAATGAGACAGATAGATAGATAGATAGATAGATAGATAGATAGATAGATAGATAGATAGATAGATAGATAGATAGATAGATAGATAGATAGATAGATAGATAGATAGATAGATAGATAGATAGACAGACAGACAGGACAGACAGACAGACAGACAGACAGACAGACAGACAGACAGACAGACAGATAGATAGATAGATAGATAGATAGATAGATAGATAGATAGATAGATAGATAGATAGATAGATAGGTAGATAGGTAGATAGATAGGTAGATAGGTAGATAGATAGATAGATAGATAGATAGATAGATAGATAGATAGATAGATAGATAGATAGATAGATAGATAGATAGATAGATAGATAGATAGATAGATAGATAGATAGATAGATAGACAGACAGACAGACAGACAGACAGACAGATAGATAGATAGATAGATAGATAGATAGATAGATAGATAGATAGATAGATAGATAGATAGATAGATAGACAGACAGACAGACAGACAGACAGACAGACAGACAGACAGACAGACAGACAGGACAGACAGACAGACAGACAGACAGACAGACAGACAGACAGACAGACAGATAGATAGATAGATAGATAGATAGATAGATAGATAGATAGATAGATAGATAGATAGATAGATAGATAGATAGACAGATAGACAGATAGATAGATAGATAGATTTCTTTTACATCATTTTCATTCATGTCTGTTGAAATAAATGCGTAATATTACGTTGCACACTATATTCAGTAAAACAGTAATTAATAACAGCCATTTCACCAAATACTTTTTACTTTTAAATGTGTAGTTTGCTGCACAGTTACTAAAAATACATTGAAGTAGTGTGCTCGTCATTACAGTATCATCTCTGGGTACTTATGATGACAGCTGTTAGGTCATAAAAAAAGTTGTTGGTTTATAAAAAATATTAGGCTTTCCAGAAATGTAACATTGGTGTACAAAAACATATTTAAAAAATATTAACCTTAAAACTAAAATAAAATATAAGCACTAGAAAACTGATAAGTATGTAAAAAAACATAAGTGTAATTTTACGTACAGTTACGTTGAACCATAGCAGTTGTTGCTATGTGGTTCTGTACCTTTAAGACTCATCGGCCCTGTATGAGCAAAGGGGACAGCAATATTTGTCTTCATACAGAACCGAAGAATTTTCTTTTCGTTCCGAATTTCGCAAATAGATACGTGCATCTGTATAATGCAAAGAAAAAAACAAATTTGTTTACTAACTTTGTTAGTAGATATTCTATGTGATGTTTAAAATTTAAGGACTCTATATGAAGACCCCCAGGAACTTTGTAGTTCATTATTTTCATTTTCAATTTTAAGATTCATATGATCAGTTTTTGGTAAAAAAATTTTTTGTCTAAACAAATAAATTGGTTTTGCTGATGTTAAAGAGTGGACTTGATCATTAATATAAATGATGAAGAGTAACTGTCCCAAAATTGAATCCAGAGGAACTCCATGTTTGGTGTCCCCAATTTTTGGTGATCAATATCTACATAATGACGTCGACCAAAAACGTAACTTTTTTGCTAAAAATAGGAAAAACAATTTGAGCAAACTGACAACAACACTTTTCAAAATTTAGCATCTTGCAAAAAAAAAAATATACTTTAGAACCCTGGATGACCACAGGATTGATAAATTCTGCTAGAAGAAAATGAAGTTATGTAGATATTTTGTTCCTCTGATCTGCCTAACATGCTTGATGTCATGTTAAACTTTGAACAATAAAGTTTTGATTTTTTTAAAAAAAAAGTTTTATTTTACCATGTGGTTCAAATAGCCTAAGTATTGACTCTATTCTTCAGTTAGCCATGTGTTGCTGCTGATCCCGCTACTGGAGCTGGTACTGTTTTAAATTAAACACTAAAGACTTAACTTAAAAAAGAAGTCAATAAATTTAACAATAGGTTCCAGCGGAACCTATTGTTCCACTGGAACCTAACCTCTGTCGCTGGGAGACGCCGGAGTTCTTAACCGTTAGGCAGCTGGAACCATGTTGGTATATCTGCTTTTGGTACGTATATCTTTGAACCTCCACAGCCGTCGTGAGTATGTTGGCCAAAAACAGGTAATACATCTTAAAGGATGAAGCGAACTGACTACAACACTTTTCACAATTGATACCCCAATTTGATTTAAAAAAAAAACCTGTTTCACTTGTACCAGTAATTATGGCTGGTTCAGTAATTGCTGGATATAAACTTCTACTTTGCATCTGCAAAATCTGTAGTCATTTGTGTTGTCCTTGTTTTAATAAATCAATATTGAAATCTCACACATTATCCAAGTTTTCCTATCATTTAATCCATTGAAACACTGACTTCCTTTAAATTTCGACTAAAAACAATACCTGTTTAGAGTTGGATTTGAAATGTAATCAATTGCGATTTAATGATTGGTTGAAAGTGCTGCAAATGTATTGATACTGACTGCATTGACTGCATAAAGTAGGTTAAATTTTATTAACCGGGTTTTTGAAGGGCCCAGTTGGTTAATGTACATTGGATGAGTTTGTAGGTTAAATATCACATTTAACTGAGTTTTGTAGGTGGGTTTTTTTTTGGGGAGGGGGGGGGGCAATAAAAAACAATTTATTCTTGTCAGCAAAACATCTTTCCTTTTTTTAAAAAATCTTTTTCACAACTGCAGAGTCTGAAAAAACGAGTTGAGGCATTAAATTGCAATGTTTTTTATTAACATTATAAGAGTCTTTGTATAAAAAAAGTTTGATGTAAAGATCTGTATTTGTTTTCTAAGAAGAACGTGTAAATTCAAAGCACACTGTTTCAAAATGTACATTCTTATTTCACATTTTATACATAACAACAAATAGGACTTTGCTACATTTAAAACTCTGTGGCTCCTTGAGTACGAGGAGCCTCATGTGAAAAACAACAGTGAAGTTTTCATGTTCCAGTCTCAGGCTCCTCATGTTTCTTTTTCTACAATCTTCCTGGTTCTTTGAGGCTCCAAGGCTACAAAGGAGGTGTCAAGGCAATATGGCTATGGTGCCCAGGAGCTCCATACTGCAGCATGCTGGGAAAAGGACTAGAGGAGAAGCCAGACACGACAGCTTCTGCAACATGCCACTTTGCAACACTTTCTATCTCCATACTCTAAGACTCCAATGGTCAGCATGGGCCAAATGGAAGCATATGGCTCCAGACGTCAAATGGTTATTTTACAGCCCTGAATGCTCATGCAGTTCCTGCCACAACAAACTATGCCGGGCAACATGAATTCAGCTTTGAGGGCCTTCATTAACCGTGTCCGGAAGTATCCTGCCTCCATTACTTGAAATTGTGGCGTTGCTAGCTATGAATGTTACTTTTTTTCTTTTTTTCTTAACACGCAGCCTACATAACTTAAAAGGAAAGGAATCCATGTTAAACTTTGCAACATTTTTATTGTTTTGTTTTTCATATTGTTTGGTTTTTCGTTCAATGGTTATGGGTTCAGCTTGGAATTTAAAGACGCAGGAACAGCTCCCGTGTAGAATTGTCTGTGAATGATCCAAAATGGCGAGAATGAAGCTGTGAAGCATAATCCGCGAGGTGCCATTTGGGAGGATGACCCATCAGCCGGATCCATTGGATCCAGTTGTCAGTTGCTGCCACCACTGGTGGTGCTGCTAACCACTAGACAACTAGAACCCTAACAGCTTTCTTCTTAATAAAATGACTTTTTCTTGTATTTTGCTAAAAAAAAAAAAAAAATAATAATAATAAATCATAGCCTGACTCTGATGTCTGGCTATGATATCAGAGTCAGAGGATGAAAAAAAATATGTACAAGATAAAACCCAAAATCTAGGCATGAAATTCATTAGAAGAATGGTGTGGTTTTGTAACTAGGCCTGAAGTCAATATATTAAATAATTAGTTTTGATTTTTGAATTTGTAATTGTGCTTCGTTGATGTTGAAGTGGTTTGCACCTCAGGGCCACAGTATAAGTCTCAAATGAAAGGAGTTTTATATTCAAGACAGGAGCAATTACTTTCCAAGACACTGTTTGTTGGTGTTATTGTTTGAATTATTAAAGTTCATTGTTCAATTCAACATGGTTTCTTTTTTGACTGTCAAATTATATTGGATATCTCAAATAGGAAAGCTGCTCTAACAAAGTTGCCCACTTTGGGAGCAACATGGGGGAATGGTTAACACTGGATGAAATAATTTTTGATATTTCAGAAACCAATGCTGAACTAACACAAATTTTAATGGCACAAACAGAGCACTAAGTAGTTCAGTTCCATCCTACTCACACAACTTTTGAAATCTGTGCACGAAGGCTTCCTGATATGAAGGTTTTGACCTCCGTGAAGCTGACATACGTATTAAGTGAGGTTTTTTTACTCACTTAAAAAAACCTCAAGTTTTTTTTAACTCTAAAAAAAACAAAAAAACATTGCATTTACAGCGAGGGGTTCTATAGTGATGCTCTGAGGTAATAAAATACTCATCGTTCCATCTGTATACCAGCTGTTAAAGTAATTTACAATAAAGTGTACGTTTAGGCCACGTCTATGACAATAGCAACACACATACAGTACAAATGAAAGAGGATGTTGGATCTGCAAATGTTTTTGAAAGTACAAATGGAGTGCAATTTCTCTCAGAAGGCATCAGTTAGCAGGTTCCAGCTTGGATTGGGTCGGTTCAGCTGAGAGCCGGTCTCTTGGGAGCCGCCGAGCATTGCCATCAAATCAGCGAGTGTAGCATCTTGTGAAAGACAAAACAGACTTGCATTTCTTGTCTTTAAGTTTTATAAATCTGAAAGAGGAAAAAAGAAAAACAGGTAATTTTTTTGCAAAATTCAGTAGAATTTGGTGTTTTTTCAGTGTGAATGTTTTCAGCATCACAAAAACAGTTTGACCCACATCAAGACGTGGCCCCCCAGACAGAATAAAAACAAAAACATATATATTTACAAAATAAACAGGACGTCCATCCGTCCAGTCCAGCGGGTGCAGAGTGCAGTCAATATGTATCAAAGATTGTAAAAAGTTAACATGTAAAATTTCTTCTATGACACATTTCTGTTTTCATCATGGGGCACACAGAAGCAACTGTCGATGTATTAAAAACTTGTGAGGTTTTTAAATGAGGTTTTTTAAGTGAGTAAAAAACCTCACTTAAGGGCAGGTTTTATAAAAACCTGCACTACGTGCTGCTGCAGGTTTTTGCAGCAGTGCAGGTTTCATGAAAAAATAAAAATAAACTTAAAATAAACATCAACAACTTAGAAACTAACGGAGTAAAGCTACAAATCAGCAGAAGAGTCACACGTCCGCAACTCTTTGGCATTCAGTGTTATTTGTCCTCTTAAGTGGACAACAGGATTTCCTGCTTCTCTTTTCTTTTTTTGTTTTTAAAATCATTCCGATAAAAAACAGCGAGTTCCCAAATAACTGTCTGGGAAGTTCAGCAACTCTGGGAAACTTACTTCAGTAGACACATCATGTTTCATTAGTTTGTACACCTTTCCCAGCTGCACAGAAAAACACCTTGACTGTGATTCAAAAAATATTACATTTATATGATACATAAAGGAACATCATTTAATATGAATAAAACTTCTTCACAATATTCTATTTAATTCTATTAAAGAAAATTTCATATTTATAAGACTCTCGTATCTTCATCATTATGTAGCAGTTCATTGTGATTCTTTAACGTCATTTCCCGTCCTTTTTTTTTCTTTACTACTAAGATTCTCCTACTATGTATTTTAGTAAATACTCTTGCTAATAATTCTGCTTTATTTTAATTATCTATTACATTGTTACCATTATATTTTATCAGGATTACTATTTTGATTTACCTGATATTTTCTTAATGGTATTCCAAACCTGTCTAATGCAGTATTTTTCCTTAATGATTCACAATATTTTCCAATAATCCCTTTTAGCATTTCCTGTAATCTTCCTAACCTCTGCTTGTGTTGTCTTATAATTTATTAGATTTTGGAAGCAAATAACTTTGAGAGTTTTAAAATCCTTATTCCTTATTTTAGTTGCTACTGAGCACTCTGAAGTCCACCGGGGAACTATCTTTTTTTTTTTTAACATCTTTACTTCTAGTATGATTGTTTGTGCTGCATTAGCGATACTATTACTAATTTCTAAATTTAATTCATTTACTGGTTTTTTATATCAACATTTACATATTAACTTTACTTATTAATTTATTTTTCCCAATTTGTATCCCCAAATCTCCATTTCCCTTGACTTCTACCTGTTCTTCTTCTATACCTGTTTCTACTTTAACAAAAATTGGGTAATGATCATTCCTATTGTACTATTTTTGCATATTCTCCAGCTGCAACTATCCGCCAAAGATTGCGATACAGAGTCAGATCAATAGCTGGCACACGGAAAGACTTTTAATTTTAAATAATATACCTTAATGTAGTGTTCTTGTCAAAGTGTAGCAACTCTGAGTTAACACCGAGATAAACCACAGCAAAATGACGAGATGGAGTCGTGAAGTAAGTTTGACCATATACTGTTGACATCCTTCATCACAAACTGCGGCGAAAACTGCAGGCAAAAAGAGTACAAAACAATACACATCTTAGTTATAGTTGAGGAAACTATATAGATGATAAAACATTCATCACAATAATTAACGTTATTTTCACAAAATAACGTCAGATATATCTTAAGTAACATGCATCTTAACAGAAAATGTAACTTACAGCATTGCTTCAATGTAATTTCTCGTGGATGGCACTGGATTACACGCTGAACTAGATAAAAAAAATTTTTTTCCCCCATTGATTTGACCAGAAGTTCTCATCTGCCTTAATAGAGTGAGTTTCTTGTAAAAAATATGCAGTTAGCATTTGTATTTTTGCAAAAAAGAAATATTGATTTTCTTTTAATACCATCATCTCTCAGACCCTAACATTTAAAGACACACAATTAAAATTAGAAAAGGACACAACCATGACAGAAAAACACCAGAAAAAAACAGGAAGGAAAGTGAACAATACTCAGCCATGCTTGCTGCAGCCCAAAGAAAAACAACCGGAAATTACTCAAACCGGATTCTTCAAATAAAAGCCTTTGAATATGCTGCAGTTACAAGTAACTTAAAATGTCCGTAAACACAATATACATAAACATTAAAGAAAAATGCTGTCAAAGCAGCACACTTAACTTTTCTTTCCAAACAGTGCCTGGTTCAAAAAAACATACCGGTACAAGTCATCTTCCTCCTGAGTGTCGTATTGAATGGCGGCGAGACAGGCGCTTTATTTTTTATTTTTATTTTTTATTTTTTCTATTATGGCGAATCACAAGCAACTTTAAGGTGCATACCGCCACTACTGTACACGAGTGTGTAGCATCAGAATTTTACATCAGTCAGATTCTATTTTTTAATTTGTATTTTGAAGATGAATAAATAATGCTACCCTTAATATGCAATATCCAATATATATATATTTCCATCATTTTCTGGTATTCCTTTCAAACTCCATTCTTGATCTGTCCACCATGTTTTACATTTTATCAATACATGTTCTACGTTTTCTTCAGTATGATTTAAATATGTATGCCCTATCTTATCTAATCATTATTATTTCTTCCCTTCTATTTCTCTCCTTAATATTTCTACTTAATATTGACTTCTGTATTTATATAATTTCCTTTCTTTCTTATCTTCATTCCACCTTTTTGCCATATTTCCATTTCTTTATTCTTAATAATTGATTTTCCTTCCCTTTTCCCAATCGGTATTGTAATTGTTATTTCCTGATCTAAAGCCCTTTTTGCTCATTTATCTGCCCTTTCATTGCCTCTATACAATCTAAATAGCTATGTTGAATTTCAAGCACTAGATCTTTCCTGTTGTTTCCAAGCTCTAGATCTATCTGCACCCCAGTTATTTCCAGCCAAGCCTTCAGTAAATTTAGAACTTCCTTACATTTAGTTTCCAGTAAAACTGAAGAAAAAAAATCCACAATTGTAGAACAGTTGTATTTTCAGTCAAAGTTTATTTTACTTAAACAGTTGTTTTGGATTTTTATAAATCTAAGAAACCCAGAAGAATGCGATAAAGTGAATATTACTTTATCACATTTTCCATCCTGAGCAAGCACACTGGCAACCAGTGGAGAGGAAAAACTTCCTTTTAACAGGAAGAAACCTCTAGCAGAACCAGACTCAGGATGAGCAGCCCTCTGCCTTGACCGCTGGGTTTGAGCAACAGTCACATTTCAAAAATCAGTATGAAACTCAATTTAGATGGACTACTGACATTGTGTCCTTTCCACTGAAGCTCCATAATGTAAACTATCAGCTTTCAGGCATAAAATGCTAATGCTCGTTATGCGAGCTACCAGCATTGGAGCCCAAAACACCGATGCTCCATTAAAGAAGCTGTCAGCTTTCAGGGACAAAACATTGATGCTTCATAATATTTGTGATTATGCCAAAGAATACATGGTCGCTGTCATTCTTGGCACAAAGTCCTCTTCACAGCTGTTATTTTGTATGTACAAATATTTTACAGCTTTCCAATTTCTCCATTATCCCTTAGGATCTGATTGTCGTTCAAGCATCTCTCACACTCTGCTTTCCCAGGGATCTTCATTTCTTTTAGGGAGTCCTTGAAATGGTGAATGAGAATCTTTTTTTCTGCCTCCGTCCATTGCCGTTTGGATTTTCCTGTCAGAAAATGAGAGAAAAGAATGAATGAATTGATTAATAAAAATCACCAACACCAAATTTAGAAAATAACAGTCAAGTTTTTTTGTAGACAGGATATTATGGAAACTGAATAACATACCCTTTTGGACTTGATGGACATGATGCCCTTTTACTGCCCTCAGTCGCTTTGGATGATGGTCTCACTTTGCAGTGATCAACCTTGGAAGTTTCTGAAAAAAATATATGTGGCAATGAAAAGTTTACATCAGATTAAAACAATATAATTTAAAAACTTCATTAAATGCAGATGTTTTTCTTTACCACGGGAGTGGAAAAATTTACCTTTTTGACTGTTGTTAACCGCTCCTCAGTTTTGGACGTCTGCATCTGAGTCACTGGAGTCTCCAGCTGCAACAAAATGTTTTCAAAAATATTTAAACACAACATTTATTTTTTGCTAACAAATTGCATTATTTAATTCAAAGTGCATATTTTAATTCTTTACTTACAGTTGATGTCTGGTGTAATCTCTTCTAGGGATTTCCCTTTAAATTTGCTCATCCCACCTTGGAGAGCAAGAAGAAGTTGCTGATTTTTGCCAGTTGGAGTGTTTCTTCAGGCAGTCTGTAATATTCCTTGTTGTGTCCAAGTCATGGCCCATGAACGTTGCCAGCTGGTCTAGTCATTGTTTTGTAGGTTTAAGAGTTGTGAAACTGTAGCTACATGCTTCCGTAGTTTGGTTGAGGTGAGATTCTGTGGTTGTTGAGCTCCAGAGCTTTCTGCAAAACCTTTTTAAGCAGTCACATCCACGAATGCTCTCTTGGGATCCGAAAAATAGACGAGCAAAAATGTAGGGATTGGTGGAGGAGATTCCAGCCTCTTCTCGTTTTAATCAGAAGATCCACAGACTCTTTTATATTTTTTGTGAACAGCACAGGCACTTTGCGGCCCCTTTTTCCCCGTATCTCTATCTGGTGAGATTCTCACAAAGTTTTTTTTCAAATGCTGAAAGGCTCTCCAAAACTTCATCGTGCATGCTGTGTGTGCTCCTTTTCTAAATATGTCTTGAGTTCCATTCTTGAGACTTCTCCTGCACGACGGCGATTGAACAGTATGAGCTGTGTCAGAGTGACTTGAGAGAGTTGACTCCATGAATGTTGTGTTGGCTGATCATTGAGATTTCTTTTGTGGACTATCTCAAGGTTTCTCAGATGGTCGTGGAGCTTTTTGATGTCTTCTGACAAAGGCAGTATTTGTGGCATATTCCATTTCTTCTGATACAGTGTTTTCAGGGCATTAGATGACACAAGTGTTGACCATTCCATTGAAATTAACTCGTTAAATTGCTGTGCTTTGTTCTTAAATCAGGATTCTCTTGACGCAGCGCCTCTCCTTGCAAAATACATGACACTTTCACAAGAGAATGCCTCAGTTTCAGTGCAGTTGAGGGCACTGTGAACCTGTTGGAAGCTGCATTAAAGCCAGTCATCTGTTTTACAGCCTCGATGACTGTGTTGAATTTTCCTGGACAGATCAAGTCCTTCAAAAAGACAATGTCTTTGTCAATATTTCTTGCTGTCAGAACAAGTCTGGCAAGTTCCCTCATCTTATTTCTGATGTCTGCTCGATGCCGTCCAACTTCTCCATTTTTGAGGAACATTCTCTCACCCAGTGAAATAATAAGGGAGTCAGCCTTTACTAATTGAGTTACATTGTCATAGTTCATTTCCTGGAGAACCGTCTGAAGTCCAGTGGAAATCACAGTGTCCGTGAGCAGCAACATGGAAGAACTTGCCTGAACCTTTCTTGTGGCAATGCCTTCTTTTGAGCGAAGTTTGTAGCGCTTATGATGTCTCCAGAGATCTGATTTGACATACATAGCAAAGCAAAACTTGCAAGGCAAGTAGTCGGATGCAGCTGCTGGATATGTCGCTTGCCGTTTTGGAATGATTTGTCCTTTTCCAGACTTTGTAACAGAACAATTGTGTTTGTAGTTTCCCATGTCTCTTATTTTACTAAAAAGCAAGGACTGCTTTTTGATCCTTGCTTTGTGCAAGCGCCTTGGCCACATCAGGTTTATCTGAGTGCCTCTGTTTTAAATGCCTTGTTATTTTTGAATAAAGCTTCTCACAGTAAAGACAACAGATTTTCTTGTCATACACACGTTTATGTGCAGTGTTGGTTGACATTTTAACTATGATGTCAGTTGTCGAAGGTGGTTTTCTGTGGGGTACTTCAGTTGCACTTTCTTCTCCCGCTGGTGGTTGGTCATCATCCTCTGACATTTCCTGAGAAAGGGAACCTTGTTCTTGAGTAATTAAACCCTCTCTTACCGTTCCACAATCAGAAAATTCCTCTTCTGTTGTCGGAGATGAAGGCAGCAGGTTACTGGGAGCAGTGTCAGCCAGATCTGTAACCATACTCTGGTGTTTGTGCCATCAGAGGATTCAACACTGAATTTGTTGAATGGGATCCATCCTGTATGTAATGATAACAAAAAATAGTGAATAAATGTCTATGTCAAGTAACAATAAATATATTTGGGCAGTGGAAGACAAAGTAAGACAAAATCCACTGCGGAAAGATCTGTAGTCTCTTAGATGAAATTATCATTGCATTGCTCTACCCTAAAGTAATTAAAAGAATTGCTTACTTCATTTTGATTCCCAGACCCAGTGTTGTTTGTGATTTCAGG